AATCGGTTATATAGAGTGATTGTGGAGTGAAATATATTTCAGGAAAAATATCTGCAGATGCAGAAAAAACCGTATGGAAACGAGCGAGTGAGTGGAACGAGTATGTCTGTCGGTTGGGCCGAGGGGAAGTCGTGAGGCTTTGCAAATTTCACTACATTCGAGAAAAGTGAAGTGAAATTCTGTAAAAAAAGTATTGATGCGCAAAAGGAAGTGCATAGAAAAAAGAAAGCAAAAATTATGAATGATATCAAACGAGCCTTGCGAATGTGTTAAAATTTACTGGTATCGCGATTATTTTAATAAATTTGGAGTATTGTTGCATGATAAAATGTATTGGGAGTTAGAACAAAGGGAAATAGTAAAAATGATGTTTGTACCACAAAGTAGGCGAAATTGAAAAGCAGCAAAGAAGTTTAGTTTAAAAATGTTATCGATAAATGTTAATGTGGACGGCGTTATGCTACGCAGCGCCCGCGCCGTCGCAGACGTTGTCTACGCTGCCTCATGTCATAAATTGGGAAGCTCTGCAACATTGACTAGTTCAAAAGTTCTGATTGACAAATACATATATTAATATATGTAATATCGTGTGTGGCGCTCATTGTAAGAAAAGACAAATAAAAAGTGTTTATCGTAGACGTTGTGTTAAATGTATGAAAAGATATATACACACGATGCGTAAAGTAGCGTGGAAAATCTTGGCACTGCCGGCGTAGCGTTGTGTGTACATAGCGACGGTGGTCGGCTTCGCGCCGCATGCAAACACACGTCGGCGTCGGCGGCGTTGTCATGCACAAAATGAAACAAAAGGAATCTATTTGTGAGTGTTTGCTATTGGTATGAGTAAGCGAGAGCGCTGTACTATTTGTTTGCCGGACATGGAGAGGGAGAGCTCATCGACAGAGATTGTGAGCGTTGCCATCGTTTACAATTAACTGTGTACTACGTTTGTTAAAATTATCATTAAAAAAGACTAACCAAAAATACAAGATCAAAGCGGGTTCGTCAGATGAGCATTTGTTTACATCACAAGGGAAACATTTTCCAATAACGGACCAGGCTTTGAAAAAAGGGTGATGAGGGGGTGTAGAGGGGGTCGCCCCCATTTTAAATCTGAAGGTCCCCCTCCGGCGGCTTGTAGTTTTTAAGTGATTAGTGATTAAAGTTGCAAAAGAAGTCAAATTCAACCTTAATTTTTTCTTTTGTAGAGCGATTAAACTGAAACTTCGGTGCTGCCACACATCCCAAAAAAATTTCGAAAAACAAATTGAAAACGGAACAATGAAAACGCACGATTTTTTATTGCATATTTTCACTATATGTATAGCGAAGTATTGATGCTATTGATGATTTTTTATTACTAATTTTCATTTTGTAATAAAATATTGTTTTACCTTGAAATTTATATACCTATTTTATATATGTACTTTATATTACGTAATGCCTCACACAGTATTTTTGGGTAAAGTTTCCAACGATCTGGCTTTGCATACATACTTTGCGTACAGAAACTTACTTAAAGAACACTTTGATCAGCATTAATTGTTAAATATTTATAAGAAAAAAAGATTTACATTAATTTGTTTATGAAGAAAAGATTATATATTAATGAAAAGAAAAGTTACTAGTTCGGTATTTATATAAAATAAATATAAATATGTGAAGTAATGAGGAAATTTTAACAACAAATAGCATTAAAACTGTTATTATTTCTACGCAAAACGTTGAAGATATTGGCCAATAAGCACTTCCTCAACACCTTCTGAGAATTTCATTAAAAAATTCGCTATACTTAGCATGAAATAGGAAATGGTCCATTATTGGAAATCTCAGCCAAAAATCGACTTTTTTCATTCTCTTGTTCTTGTGTGATCTTGTCGTTCATGAAAAAATGCGTTTTTTTGGCAATTTAGGTAGTGGCCGACTGAACTGGAACTTTTGGCTGAATCCGAAACCGAAGCAAATACTCGGCTTTTTTCTTGAAGACAGATACTTTTCGGAACCCAACACGTAAAAATAGTCACCCTCATTGCGAGAGTCGTGTCGAATGCAAGTCGTTTTACGAGAGTCGAATCGTATCGAAAATTTCACATCATTACCTAAAATTTCCACTGACTAATGTATTAAAACGGAAAAACT